AATGTTTTCGTGTCATATACACTTTAACCGCGTAACAATAGCTAATTGATCAATCATGCATATTTAGTCTTGAGTATACCATAGTGCATCTTGAAGGCTATTTATTTCATTTTTGAACTGACGACGATAACTACGAGTATGGTTATTCTATAGATTACATTTTTTCGAGGAACCTTCCAAAGTTATATATGTAATAACAGAGCTTTTGGTTTTTTAAATTGTTTGCATTTATTCACATTTACAACTAAATATTGTTTAGTTGTAAATGTGAATAAATAATGATTGTTGCTTGACTTTGAACTAGGTTGTTAGATCATTTTCAACTAATATATGATATATCATTGTAGTTCTAAATTTTAATCCAATTAAATTTTATCTAACTCTAGCTAAAACAACCTCTGGGTAGATCTATAAGTCAAGGCATGGATAACTCCGAGATCAAAACCTGACACAACCACTGGGCTGATCTAAGTCATCAGGGCACGGTTAACTCAAAACTATGTATAGAATCGCATGGGAAATCGCGCTGCAAATCGGCTGTGTTAATTAAAAAACGTTCGGTACTCTCCCTAGAGATGATTATATTCAAACCAGCTCATGCGTTCCTATCAAGGTTCAAACATTCATTTCATTACTGGAAGTTTGATTTTCATCCTGCTTTGAAGCGTGCATTAATGAAATGAACGTTGTAAATTTCAGTACAGGATCCAGGTCTTTATCTCAAAACATCAAAATGTTCGTTTGTGAAAGGATTTTTTGAACAAAACTGCGCATTAAACAAATAACCTTAAAATTACCTAGACAGGAACGCTTGAGCTGGTTTGACTGTAAGGGCGAGTACAAAAAATTGTCATGTTAAGACAGAAAGCAATAAAGTGAAAGGTATGGCATACCTGTGTAATAAAATGGCGCAACCAAGAATCCTGCTCCGGTACCTGCTGAATAGGCAGCGAAGACAGAAGTCTTAAAGTACGATGTAAGTGCAATGATACTCATGTTACCAAAACCAAAACCAACTGAAGCAAGACTAATACCAAACAGCTTCCATTCAGCCTGCTTCACATATGCCACGATCACAAACCCAACAGCATTGGTTACAGAAACTACAAACACACGAATAAGATACGGTATCTCCCTTATGAAGTAAGGAAAGACTACTGTAATAAGGGATATCGGTACCATGTGAGCGATCAGATTCATGGACGTTTGGATGTTACTTGCCGCCATGATATCTTGGGCTCCAGAGATCGTCACGGTAAAGGTGAAATAAAGCATAAGACCAAAAACGAAGAAGGATAAAACCGTACTTGGTTWCTCCTTCTTTTCATTCTTGTTCTCTTCTATGGCCGGGCTGTTTTCAAATGGCTGCAAATTATCATCTTTGATCCCTGCCATTTTGCTTTTAAATATATATATGCTAATTCCTTTATCCAGCATTCTTTCTCAATAGCCCGCAGAGTCAGGCTACGTGCTAAATGCTCAGTCATTCGAGTTATTATAATGAGCAACATTAGACCGTTCAGATAGATAGATAGATAGATAGATAGATAGATAGATAGATAGATAGATAGACTTTATTTAAAGAGGGTAAACACTAAAAAGTGATGACACTTATAAACTTGTGGCCCTCACCTTAAATATTAAACTACATTACAATATAAAAAACTATAAATCTATAAAACTATAAAACTATAAAATTACAAAACTATGAAACATAAACTATAAAACTGTAAATAAATATACGAAAAAAAAAACAACAAACAAACCCGGCAATCAGGTGTAAATATATTACAAATAATATAATTCAATAAGGGCTAAAATGATTTATAGATTTCTGTTCATTAAAATAGTAATCCTGAAGGGCTGACTTAAAACTATTAACACTAGGTTTAGACTTAATATCAACGGGAAGAGTGTTCCAAACTTGAATCGCCGATACTGCAAATGACCTCCCACCCTCTGTTACACGATTGAACTTTGGRCAAACAAAATTACATTTAGAATAACGAGTAGTTCTTGAGTGAACATCAGAATTTAAAACTAATGAATCTAATAGATATTGTGGAACTCTAAGCTGGGTACGCTTGAAAAGAATCAAACATTTGGCTATTCTAGCCTCGATGTAAAAAGGCAACCAACGTAACTTATTGCACAATGTAACAGACGCCGAATTAGGTTCAGCATCAAGAATTATTCTGGCTGCTCTCTTCTGCAGACGCATAATATTATTCAGATTATCTTTACTACACATATGCCAAATGACACTAGCGTAATTTAAGATAGGTCTAATCATACTATTATAGTATAAAATTCTTTGTTGCAATGGCAAACACGATTTAATCTTATTCAAAACTCCTAATCTTTGAGAAACGTTTTTGCTAAGATATTTGACGTGATTATCAAATGACAGTTTAGTGTCCAATTCGAGACCAAGCACTCGTGAACACTCTACTTGTTCCAGTGTTTTATTATGAGAAGTACCAATATTCAGCTGTTTATCCTCGGTACTAACTTTAGTAGACAAACGCTTGCCAGTAATCAGCATGGACTTTGTCTTTGTTTCATTGAGAGGAAGCTTGTTGGCACTAGCCCAGTTCTCTACATCTTTCCAAGCACTACCCAACTTGTTACGCATGGAAGCCAAGCTCTCTACATCAGAAGCGTACGAAATACTTGTATCATCTGCATAAAGATCAACATGAACATCGGACGATTGAATATTCAATGGGAGATCATTGATGAAAACGAGAAACAAAAGAGGGCCCAGAAGACTGCCCTGAGGAACTCCATGGTGGATATTTTGGAGGTCTGAGTCCAAACCATTCACAGTAACGTACTGTCGACGCCCTGACAAGTAGGACTCTAACCAAGTTTTTGAGGTTTCAGCCAGGCCGTAAGCAGATAGCTTTGTCATTAAGATCTGATGATCAACCATGTCAAAAGCCTTGCAGTAATCAATAAGAACAAGACCATTAACACGATTGTTGTCGAGGTTACCAAGTAATTGGTCAACAATCCTGATAAGAGCAGTATCAGTWCCATGGTGTTTTCGGAAGCCAGATTGACGAATATACAATAGGTTGTTTTTGTTCAGGTAGTCGTAGAGATGGTTATGAACATGCCCCTCGAGCAATTTAGACAACACTGGCAAAACCGATATTGGTCGATAGTTAGTCATATCATTGTGATCACCTGATTWGAATAATGGGGTGACTTTTGCAGTCTTCCATCGATGGGGGAATACCCCTTTTTCAATTGATATATTCAAAAGCTTTGATACAGATGAAGCGATGAGAGGAGCAGCGATTTTCAACATTTTTGCGCTTATTTTGTCTACACCCATGGCCTTAGAACAGTTTAAGCTTAATAAGTTGTCATAGATGAAACTCTTTTCAACAGGTGGAATAGAGAAACACTCTTCCGGGTCTTTTCTGGAAGCAATAAAGTTCATGAGTTTCGAGGTGTCCAAAGGTATGTCAGGCAGAAAATTTCTCAATTTGTCTGCGATTGTACTAAAATGGCGATTAAAGTCATCCGCAGATCCATGGTTACCATGCTTTCCCTCACTGGAACTACCAGTCAATGACTTAATTGTTTTCCACATTTTCTTCGGGTTACCTTTGCTGTTTTTGAAACACTCTTTGTAGAACTTGGCCTTAGCATATTTAACCATATTGGACGCATGATTTCTCGCCGATCTGTAATTAGACCAGTCCTGTTCATTATTGGAACGTCTGGCTTTCTTTAACAATGAATCACGTTTCACAAGTTGCTTGATAACTTCTTTAGTCATCCATTGCGCTTGTTTAGGTTTTGAAACACGTTTCTGGCGCCAAGGACAACAGGTATTCAGAACGCCATTAAATAAAGATTCCCAAGTGCTCAAAACATCATCAAGATCATCGAATATAAATGCTGTGTCCCAAGGGACCTCCTTTAAGGATTCCTTGAAGTCTTTCTCATTAAATTTTTTCATGTCCCTGTAGGTTATAGTGCGTGGGCCAGGACCATGATTTGGGCTATTGTTCTTGTAAATGCGTACACAGAATACTGGAATGTGGTCGGAGATTCCATAATTATAAGTTATTATCTTCTTGATTCTTTCAGGACAATTACTGAAAACATGATCCAGACAGGTGCCACTTATGGGTCTTGTTATTGACTCTACGAGCTGTTTAAAATTCATACTGAGAATATGTCTGATCAGGCGATGTTTCTTAAATTTCTGACGTTCATTGAAGTTAACGTTGAAATCTCCAAGTAAAATCGTTTCCTTATTTAATAAATAAGCAGATTCAATGTTTTTGTCTAGCTTGTGATCCATATCCTGGGAATAAGAGGGTGGTCGATAAACAGCAGCAAAGAGCAGAGGACGTTTTGATTTGAAGGGACAGATTTCCACCCAAATAACCTCAAGGTTACAATCTTCCAAATCAGTTCTTCTGCGATGATTAAGTGAGTTGTTGACAAACATCATAACGCCACCTCCAGTTTTACCAATCCTATTCCTGCGATATGTGCTAAAGCCCGGTACAGAAAACATTGCGTCAGGAAGATTAGAATTTAAGAATGTTTCATTCAATGCCAGAATATCGACTTGCGAGCGATTATCTCTACCAAGGAGAAAGAGCTTGATTTGTTCAAATTTAGACGAAGTCAGTCTGTTTACATTCCACGTACCAAAGCGAACCCCCTTATTTCCAAGACCCAAATCAAAGAAAGGATATGGGTCGCAGAATTCATCATCGGAGGGAAATTCCACAGAGGCACTATCCAAATCAGATTCATAGTCGGTTCCTGTAGAATTAGTGTCGGACAGGAAAGATACGTTGAGTGCATCAGGACCGGGATTCACGGATACATCACCAGCAAGTACAACCAGACTGAGCGCCAAAAAGCCAGCCTTAGAGATGAACACTCCAGCTTTGAACTTTAAAGATGGCGGCATCTGTTGTTTATTGGAGCAACTCCGCGATAATCTTGAATTTCTCGATGGAARTTGTTTAACATCGAGACCATTAGATAGATAAGTAATAATAGCATGATTATTTAGCTTTCTGGTAGGTTTTTGGGAATTTAAAATAACAAAAAGCATCAGAAAAATCAGATAAAATCTGGAGCTTAGCAAGACAGCCCTTCTCGCCATGCTTGAATGCTCTGTCAAAATGGTCAAAATGGTCGCATTTATAATAAGTAACATTTGAAAGAAAACCTTCTCAATTGATAAATAAAATACTTAAGGTGGCTCGATGCAATAATTTTAAAGCACGACTCCTCTACTTGTATTGCAAACTGCGCGGCACCAGATATACCTTGGTCAAATGGAAGTTTTAAATCGTGTGTATTCCTTGACCATCGGACACGCCCTGAAGGCACAGTGACGTCATGTGATTGACCCGAGGTCACGCCGGAAGTCTTCGTATCGTAAATGCGGGTTGGATTTGGATATAGTCTTTCTTCGAAATTATGGTGACTGTATTTTTTAACGGCCTAAGATACAAAAGTATCTAACTTATAATTTATAACTTTATAATCTTTCTTCGAAATTATGGTGAGCGTATTTTTTAACGGCTTAAGATACAAAAGTATTTCTTCCGGCGTGACCTCGGGACGGTTGCCGAAAGAAATCCGTTGAATTGGTGTACAGTGAGCTCCAAGTACGGGTCAGAACAAGCGTGGTAGTATGCGAATACAGGCAAATTTCAAGACTTAAAGACGCGAAGACTAATCTCTAATGCGACTTTCTCGGTTCTATAGGGATGTGAGAGAAGGGTCACGACTAAAATTTGGCGCTGGAAAGAAAATTCGAAGACGTACGAGGTTTCAAAGAC